AGTAAGCTAGGAAATCAATAAGGAAATCAATAAAATGGAGTTACACATTTACACAATTGTTCATGTTTATACCTCCAAATGCAAAATATATCGAAGTAAATTTTTACAAATAAAAACCAATACATTGACAATATGAACTTCACACACTGCTTATTTAATCATTTCAGACAAAACCTGTGGACAATACGATGTCAATGACCTTGTTCACCTACAATACTGTAACACAAGCCCCACCTATTCCATAATCAGTAGGAAACAGCAGGCCATAATTTGATGAGGCCTATTTTGTTTGGTTGAAAGAAACATAAATGCAATAAATTGCCAGGCAACCCAATCTAATATATACCACAGAATCACTTGTACTTTATTTATGTAGAGTTGACATTCAAAACTTAACTTTTTAATTCTGTTAAGGGTTAGTGATCATAATTTGAAGAAACTACACATAGAGATTATATCTATTTAATTAATAATAAAATTCTTCATTTTACTGGAAAGCAATAATAAAATAATATTAAAATAATGATTCAACTCAAATCTCACTCAGCATGTTTCTCGTTTTCAGAACAATGAGAATCCAACTACCACTCTCAACTGTGGCCGTTGCACAAGGCTATCTTTCCACTCCAGCTGTCATAACATCCTGAGGCTAGAATCATGATTATTTTTTAGCAAAATAGCAATAATTCCTAACAGTAACCATGGTAACAAATACCATTATTTTATTCAGGAAATATTGTCATAACAACAGCAGATTTTAACTATTTGTATGAAATAAGACTATCAGATAGCTCCAAGTACAGCTATTTAATCCAGGTTAGAAATTGGCACTAGTCCTATACTCTTGCCAAACTGCCCAATAGTTAAGGTATCATAAGGACTAGTAGATATTTGCCGTTTTTAAGGGTTTTTGCTATATATTATCATTATAAGGACTAGTGGACCAAAAACGTTAGTTTCTATCGCTGTAATCACAGCCCAATCTTCACTAGTAAGACAGTAAAATCTACTAAAAATGGTGATGAAGGAAAACATATGGGTCAGTAGATTCTTAAAGTTCTTGACACCTCCATAACACCAAAATCTAAACAAACGAAGACAATTCAAACAACTGTTGAATAATCCATACATGCATAGTTCGAATAAAGTTTGCTACTATACATTTTCAAATATGTCATGTCCTACTTGTGATTCATCTTAGCCTTGAAACCTTGTCTTTGGGGGAAAAAGTGAAAAAAGAAAACAGTGTTTTGTTCATTTATTTGTTGCTTAACACCGCACTCAGCCATATTCCAGCTATATCAAGGAATAATCAAGAGACCAGACAATCCAGTGATTAACATCATGAGCATCGATCTACGCAAATGGGATACTATGACATGCATCAACCAAGTCAGCGAGTTTGATCACCCGATCCCGTTAGTTGCCTCTTACGACAAGCATAGTCACCTTTTACGGAAAGGATGGGTTGCTGAAGACCTATTCTACCCCGGATCTTCACGGGTCCAAGAGAACAGTGAAGTGAGTGCACAGTTCAATTCCAACCAGCGGTTAACTAGATAATCATTATACATGGGAGAAAGCAAGAATTCCCTAAAAGAGTAGTAGCGCATGTCTAGCCAACATCAGTCATTGGCTTTGTCAGAATTTGCTTTTGGAAAACATATCAAACTAAATGGATAAGGGACCAGTTCAAAAGCTCAATGTCCGAAAAAATCTTTTTCCTTAAGGTTAAGGGTAGGGGGTTAATGGCCCAGCAAGTTTTCCATCCGATAAAATCAACTGACCTGATTTCTCAATGTTTTTTATAGCAACTAAGCTAAAACATCTTATTTTCATTCATATGCTTTTAGGAGTTGTCAATAAAACGTCCAGTCTTTCTACAAGGTGGGGCTTTATGGTCAACCGGCCATAGTGGTAGGTCATTCAAGTACAGTGAACAATACAGAATAGCAGATCTGATCTATAAAAAACATACAAATGATTTTCAACACCAAGTAAACAAATTCAAGTCGATAAACATTCTGGGAAAAGCTGGGCAAAATATGAGAATGAGGAAGAAAAGAGGCCACTAAACTCAGGAACTCAACATTTTTAGAATTAACGTCTTTTAGGGGTGGGTGGGGGTTAGGTCTCAACACTTAAAAGAATTTGGTTTTTTATCCACATCAAACTTTTGAACTGGTCCCTAAGCAATGCCTCCCTATGAAACAACTGCACAATAAGAGTATCTTAACAATATACAGCTCTTGGAGTAACACTATGAACAAAGGTAAATAATTTCTTCAATATTACCTCCTCAATGGGCAATATATATATCGTCATTGCACTGATCCATGTCATACTTTGTCAGCAATTACATAATTCCAGCTACTTAATCTGTTTGCTGAACAAATAAGGAGCTTCAATATAGGATTGAGTGTGAACACTCCAGAGTCGTGCCCAGACCAATCTGAACCACATACACAACTAATGATATACATGTTGCCATGTGTGTAAAGTCTGGCTTGTCCCAAGGAGCAACCATCACTGAGACTTCAGAACAGCAGCAGAGTATGCTTGATGCAGCACAGAGAGATGCACAACCTCATCAACACTATCAGATAGCAAGCCGGTTCACACAGGGAGATCCCAAATGAAAAACTTTAAACATAAAACATTAATGAAATTAAAGGAAGTCATTGAGCCGTACACAAAGGTTGGAAGACCTAAAGAATCATGTGACCTAAATGTCACAATACATACTTATTAATTCAAGACTATTCTACTTAATTTAACTAGTTTAAGCTTTTGAATACCTCATTGTAATATATATACTGAAAGTTATTTTACGCCTGAATTTGTTTTCAATACAAAGACACCCTTAGTTGATCAGAGTGCTTAATATATTGAATACAGTGTGTTGGGTTTGATGAATGAATTTCAAATGAAATTAACCACACCCATCAGCTATTGCTATTTTTTCAACAAGTCATTTGATGTAGAAGACAGTGAATTGGCAATGTTATCTCTATTCAGTCTTAGGATACATAAATAGCAGTTAGAATGACTTGCAAATATTTCCATTTTGACATGATTGAGTAATCCAGCAATTTCAAACATTGACAGATTCATCAAGCCATTACCTGAAGGTAGATCCAGGACAAAATTATGCAATAATAACTACCCACGCCATATTCACGGATTAAAATGATGAATCTGTTGACTCAGAGAACTGAGTTTCTAATTTCCTGAGAGATTAATATCAATCTTGCCTCCTGTAATTTAATTCCAAAACGATGAAACGCTGCAGAAATATTGACATACTGCAGTCAGAATCTCCTGAGAATTGTTGTCAACCAAAGCAGTGTCTGAGCCAGTCAAATCAATACAGCTCCCCTTGACATGAGGCTCGTCACAACCGTATTGTGTTTAGTGAAAAGAACATGCAATGTAATCAATTTCACCTCGCACATTTCATCCCATGTGAATGGTAAGAAACTGTCCCCACTTGATATGATCTAAATAAAATATTATGAGGACCATCGCCAATAAATTAACAAATAAAGTGATGCAAAGTACTCTGACGTTTTACGATTTTCAGTATTTAAAGCACACATGCAGATGATGAAATGTCTTAACTCTTCAATGGCTGGGATTTCTGACCTAAATGGTTGTCTAAATTATACAGTTAAACACTCAAAGTGGGATTTATGATACTATCAAGTTGTTTGTTTGTTGTTTAACACCGCACTCAGCATGCTCAGCACTATTCCAGCTAAATGACGGCAGTCTGTAACTAATCGAGTCTGGGCCAGACAATCCAGTGATTGACATCATGAGCATCGATCCACGCAATTGGGATACCAGTGTTAGAAATTGGCACTAGTCCTGTAGTCCTTGCCAAACTGGCTAATAGTTAAGGTATCACAAAGACTAGTAGAAATTGGACCTTTTTAAGGGTTTTGCTATATGTTATCTTTATAAGGACTAGTGGACAAAAACTGTTAGCTTCTACATCTGAACATGATCCGAATATCAAAGATAACATCGTAGAGTGTAGGTAATATATTGTGGCAAGTATCACAAAACATGAATCATTGCTGCAATAAATTGACAAACAAAAGTCAGGCCAATACCCATCCAACACAAATACTGTGATAAGCTTTTGCAACCTTACCAACTTATTATTATAAGTCTGAAGCCAGAGTCTTGTAAAATTCTTCCCATCTGGTAAGAACAGCTAATTATAATCCATACATTCACACTACAATCTATGGTAATGATACCAAAATATATTAGAGCTAGCTGTCTGATTGGTTGGCATATTCTTGTGTTCCCCACTGCGATATTGCTGGAACATTGGCATTGAGGCACAAATCCTCAATTACTGTACAATTAACATGATAAAGTAAATCTCTTTCTCATAAAACACATTCACAACTTTTCTGCTCATTTAATACCATATTAATTCAAAAAATTGACATTTCACATTATTCAAATGATCTTCGAGTGCATATCAAAAAGACCAACATGCAACTGTGAGTTGCCTATAATTATTAATGTTCCAATGCTGCCTACTGAAGTAATGAAATATCCCTTTAATCAATTCTTGCAACAGTCTTTCCAATTAGATGCATAAACGTGATAAAGGAATATTTCTCTATTCTGGTAAAGTAAGACCGGGGCTCATTTCAATGTTTCTAAATTTAGCCGCAGCAGTCAGCATCATGTGACCTAAGGCATGAGGTGATGCTTGACTGTTTGTCTATTCTCTCACAGCTGATGTACTGCCGATTGGCTTAAATTCAAAAATGCAACACAAATTTTATAAAGTGGCAATTAAAATGTTCTAGCTAATAAAATCAGAAATAAATTTACAAGATTGATCCAAAGCCTGTACCTGGTAGAAGTCTACTAAAAATAGCGAGTGCACCAATGCTACATGAAGTTCAACAAGATCAACAAAACAGATAAAATACCCAGAACTCCAACCCATGCATTCCAATTTTTTAACTCACGCTTTTTCTTCGAAGACACTCCGAATGCATGCTTGATAGACTTAAACAGACTTTTAGTGGATCGTCTCCACGACTTGTCCGGGTCAACAATTTGCTCCGTCTCCATGGTCATCTAGTGGTCAGTTACTGCTGTCACGTTAATCAACAACATTCTACACACTGAATCGCCATACAAACAAATAGTCCGTGTTCCACGTCAACAACGCTGTGCAAACTCCGCTACACGACCACAGAACATATATCACAAACACCTGTCAGTTTCAAAATGATTGTCACTTTCCTGTCCGATATCTACATGAAGCAGAATATGGATTTTTGTTCGCAAGTCGAGACATAAAATTGATGCCAGCTTCACTCACCTGAGCCACGTATTGAAAGCTTCAGGTAAATGGTAATTATTTGAAACTGCCCTGCCCATAAAAGTAAAATGGAAACAGTCAGTGAAATACTCACCAACCGTAAGTCTGCCAGCTGTCGAATGGACCCATTGTCACTGTAACGAGTCTCTAGCTAGCTTGGGGCGGTAACAGCTATTTTAATGATTAATAAACATGACTATTCTGCGCTGGAATGACAACTCTGCATAAACAGGTAGGTATAAACAGAGAGAGGGATTAAAATGACTCAGTAACTGTTTGGTTGGGCATTACTGACAGACAAGGCAGAACGATGCTAGTGCTTCCCCTTATTTTGATGTTGTGAAGACAGAGTTGGAAAAAGGGTCAAATGGCAGAGTTTATTGCCTGATGCAACAAAACTAACAAGGTAAGGTTTGATGGCTGATGAATCATTCACGAGTCTAGTTTGTGAGATATTTGATCTGAATCGAAATTTGATCTTGATTTTGTGAACTTGACAAATCCTTCAATATCTCCTCCAGAAAAAACCTGTGTAACAAGGTGCAAACCTATTATCATGCATTTTTAATGAAAGTGTAATTACTTTGATCATGCTACACATATTGGGAGAGCACAGCACAGGTGTACAGTGTGGGACAGATGGATTGATTAGTGAGAAAACAAAAAGAATATTTTCTTGCTTCAAGCTTTCACAAGATTATTACACAAAAGGGAAAGTTGTGGAGATGACTGATTGGGCAGAATTCCACAATCACTATCACGTCAACAGTCTGTGCCAAAGACTTGAGTCATAGTGACCAGCCTGAACATGGCTCTAAGCAACCTAATCCATTACATAGAGAGTGTATTCTTATCATATGGACTGTTATCAGCTGAGCTAACTAGACCAAACAAACTATTACTAGACTCAGGCTTCAGACCAGCAGCTAAAGTTGCAGAATGCTGCATGATAATGAAACATGAATCTTGTGAATTGTGCAGGGTCAAACATAAATTTATATTTTCACTAGTCCGCAAAAATTACAAGCAATGTAGTTGCCATCTAACTTACAGAAAAGTGGTAACTAGCCCACAAGGTAAAGTCATTAGTGCGTCATAGATTTTACTCGGATTAGCGGAGTCATGTTCATTTAAAACCATGTTGTGTTGTGGTAAACTGTGAATGTCACTCTCAACCCCAAACTTGATTATAAATTGCTGTGTCCAGTTAATAAATGAATTTTGGGATCACATTAGTATATCCTTAAACATATCTGGATTTTTTGGTTTGTTGTTTAACGCCGCACTCAGCAATATTCCATCTATATGATGGCGGTCTGTAAATTATCGGGTCTGGACCAGACAATCAAGTGATTAATATTATGAGCATTGATCCACACAATTCGGATACAATGACATGCATCGACCAAGTCGGTGAGCCTTACCACCCGACCCTGTTAGGGTGTAAATTATATGTACATATATGGGATAATAAGAATAAATATTACATTACAGGTATCGGTGTAAATGTTTGCCAGGCCTTGCTCCTGTCAAGTAAATCCCCCATACAATAGCCAATACCACAAACTAACCTACTAACCCTATTTCTTCATGCAAATAAGACACAGGTGTTGTCACATAATTTTCCAACACCCTTGATAATGCTCAACACATTAGGAATCTGGAGCAATCAAAACATCAAATGACAACTAAAGTGAGTCTGGGGTGGTTAACTTTAACACAATGCTGTTCATAGATGCAGATAAAGATCTCCCATCACAAAACTCATTACAGCACAAATACTACTTCCTAACCATGATAATTGACCCCTAAGCATGTCCGCACAGATAAGGGACAATAGGGTTGCTGGCTACAGATTTGGCCAGTGAACCATCAACAGGATGATCCTATCTCCGGTGTTATCATTTATGTCGCAAACTTGACATACTGGCATATAGTGACATACAGTTTTTGTACATATTTGACTTACATACACTTCACATACCATCTGACCCAGCCTGGGGCTGTGTTGAGTCGTGAGGAATGTGTCGAGGCTAAGGCTGAGGCTGATCGTCAGAGGCTAAGGACACTACAACAGCGTGACAACAGCAAGGGGCAGCTGTCCACACCTGAGTACGTGTACTTGAGTAGCAATACACCGGGCTATCTCAGCATTCTCTATGTACATTGCACATAGATTTAATGTAGATCTAACGCAGATTACATTCAGATTCAGAAGGGCCTGTCTGTCCAGGGTGTGCTGCTGATGTGGCTCTGATGTCATGTGTTGGTGTGTTTTATCACACTATCCACTGATTAGGGATACGGAAGCTTAGATGGGGATGACCTTTAGACTAACACTTGTTTCAACAGCAGCTAACTGTAACTGGACAATGCCGGAAATCATTTGAAGTATGAAAAATAACATACTAGCAGGGTTTACATGAATCTGTGAAAATGTGCACTGCGTAAACATTAATAGCATGGACGTAGAAAAATATTTATTGCATCCTGGGGACGCACAGTAATATACTTTGTACCAAATTCTTGACAAGAAGCATAAAGGTCCTGTAGTTAAAATAATTATCAAACCTTACAGTACAGGACACTACACCATTTCACTACTTTACAGGACCCTCATATTGCCTGCAAGGACACTTGAAATTTATTATTGGGGGTCTCATGGCCTGCAGTTCTGTAAGTCAAGGTAAGACCCTGATCTATCCTGGTAATAGTCATTAAACATAACTACAGGGTATTCAGGTGTTGTGTGTCATCTGTGGTACAAAGTCATGTCATTACAAACCTAACCAGACCCTAGGTATTGTCTACTTCATTGGGGGTGGGTTGGGTAGATTCAGGGATCTTGGTTGAATCTAGGAAAATTAACACATGGAATGTGACAAGGACCCATTGACTTTCATGATTAATTTCTAACTTTGTAGTATACAAATGTAAATATTCACCACTTAGGCCAATGGTATGTCAGGGGTTTATCTATCAGAGGTTGATACATTCCGCCCCTCGTCTGCAACCAACAACAGTAAAAAATTCCAATTTGAATTCAAAATTTCCCAAATCTGCAGAATTCATGAAAGTAGGGACATAAAAAACAATATCACATTTTTTTTCCAAATCTGCCCTCCAAGAGCACTTTGTTTTGAATCCTAGATAAATAAATCCCTGTGTGTGAAATGATCCCATAGTACAAATGTTACTGTTGGTGACAAGAACATACTACACCACAAGGTTGCAGATATGTCCATCAACTAGACTATTGGCTGACTGTCGTCCAACTGACCGTCATATTTTTTTCAGTTCGGTAATGATGTATACATGGTAGAAGATCAATACTGGAAAATCATGAAAATGACCCATAAATGCCATACAAATTGTCAAAATCACTGTACCAGTTTCCAGAGTATCAATCAATCACTAATCACTAATACCATTATTATTAAAAAGTTAATTCCCAGCTACAACAGAATCCCTAAATGACTGTATGGCATGTGAACATTAAAACTAACGATCTTCAACACAAGACTAATATTATTATTAGCTAACTATCCCTGCTGAAACAATGTCATACTCCTAACAACACAGGCATAAGTTAACATGACTTTTAGCCCTTAATGGCAGTTCAGCATTGCCAAATGTTCCAAGAATTCAGGAAGTACCTTCCACATGTTTAACCAACAAGCCTCTGCCAAATAAATCACTATTTCAAATACCCTGAGAAGCAATCAGCCAACATGACCATGTCTTTCATCAGTGAATCAATGGCTCCATTTTATCATCCCTAGGACCAGAAAATTCAATCAATCCCACCCTCCGCAGCTGATATCAGTGCTCTATCTCTCCACAGGTAACAGCGATCACCCCTTGCACCTGTCCCACCCAGGAATCTTGCCAGCAGTGGGAACTGGGAGGATGCGTCTGTCTTCGGGAATAGTTCATCTCTGTCAGTAAGCTGGGAGTCAGCTCTCTCCATTACATCACACGATTCTAGCTTGTACACCAGTGGCTCTGGGAGCCTGCCAACTCTCACTTCATTCACAGGCTCACTGTGGACCAGTGAGTGGGTCAGGAGGGCTCGACCTTTATGCAGTAATCGATAGGTTGGACTACCAACTGTACACTATTTTGGTCACATAAACACTGTTGTAGACATGGAAATCAGATACCGAGGGTTGCTGAATACTAAATATTTGTGAACATTTATAATGTCAATTTAAAGGGGGACTGGACTTGGACCAACTGGGAGTTTTATTTGAAACCTTCAAATACCATTTTTTGGTCTGCTCGCCCACATGCTATGATATTTATCTATCCAATCAGTCAATGATTACCTTAATTACACAGACACATTGTCCGAGGTTCACAGGACTCACTACTATGTCTAGACATTCACTGGTCAAGACAGGCGCAACATCGCATTCAAGATTATTGCACTTCAGTAGTGGCATGCATGCAAATGTAATGCCGGTTTTATAGTGCTAACCTACTGAGATACCCCACTTTGACACAGTATACAGGCTCCGAGCCTACCAGTCCTTGTCCTAATCACTTAATGCTGAGTTTTGATATGACGCGACGGGGACAGAACCACGACTTTCTGCTCTACAGGCAGATGCCTAGTCTGCCATACATACCCTGAGACAAATATATCCAATACAGCGCATGCAAGTCTATAATATTTAGAAAGTCTAGACTACTGCAGTATCAGGAATGAAGAGAGTCTAAGAGCTCTTTTTTATTATATATCAAAAGTTTAATTTAACAACTGTTTTTTACCGTAAAATATGTTCACTTCAGACTAACATCTAGTCTAGCAGATGCCATATATCTACTAGACCACGGAGGCGGTCACTACACTAGTCATGGAACCAGACTGTATAATCCTTCTACATATTTGGTCCCAAATATCTCTGTACTCATCATCATTGAAACAATGACACGCAAAACATAAAATAACACTCACTGTACTTATGTCTATCTGACATTTAGAAACAAAGTGTCATTATACAAGTCATTCATGACAATTACCACATAAAATGCTATCAAACCAATAATTCTAATTTTCATAATAAAGAACGCCTAACCATGATTAGAAAATCGATATGAAATCCAGGTTTGTCAATATTTTCATCTTAAAAAGATCAGAGGAACAGTGAAACTCCCGAAGGCCCACCAAAATGTCAATAGTGACATCCATCATTGATAATGACTGCAGGTAGCCCAGTTTTCTTAAACTGGGTATGCAGAGTACCTTCTTACCCGTGAAGATTCCGGGGTAGAATAGGTCTTCAGCAACCCATGCTTGCCTTCAAAGGTGACTATGCTTGTCGTAAAAAAACGACTAACGGGATCGGGTGGTCAGGCTCGCTGACTTTGTTTGATGCATGTCATCTATTCTAATTGCGTGGATCGATGCTCATGATATCAATCACTGGATTGTCTGGTCCAGACTCGATTATTTACAGACCGCCTTCATAAAGCTGGAATATTGCTGAGTGCGGCGTTAAACAACAAACAAACCATCCAACCAACCTTCTTACGAGTCCACAACAAACACTGCAAATCCACCTGAATATCATATACTGTGTTGAGATGAGTCGGCATATTGTCAAGATTGTCAAGACATGGCCTAAATTAATAACAACTTCATCTAAAGCCAATTACTTAACCTACCAGGGTAACAATGTCATTGGTAGTTCAGTCAACACATGGCTTCTAGGAAAATCAATTCATAATGAATTTAGATCTGCTAGTTCCTGCACTTTGAACTAAACAACATGACCTAGACTGTAACAAATCAATTACCCCTACTGGTGGTATAGACAGTTTCATGTGAACAAAGTTACTAAGCTTTAGCAATATTCAACAGGGCAGGGTACACCAGAAATTAGCTTCAAACATGGTATGCCTTTGTTGTTCCTTAATTGCATGTAAAGAAAGTAATTGTATATCTCAACAATTTTATCCAAATGCAGTACAAGGGTCCTCAACGCCTACAATGTCAATATGACAAACTCGTCAAAGCATTAATAATGGGCTCCTAAAAAATATCTGCGATCAGACATTAAGAATAAGATCTTTTCATTAGCTCAGCCAAGTATACCCCTAGTAATAGGGCTGAGTGTAGGTATCCAACCTTAAATTAGCATCACTGTTCTTATTGGGCAACACCCATCCTGCCACATCAGCCTGGGGGTACCATTAGGCCCACTCACTATGGCTGTCGACACAAAAACACAACTGAAGGACAGTCGGTGTAACTCCACATTCCTCACTACATCACATACAGGCATCAATGAACAAGACAAACAGTCAGTAAGGAAAACTGTCGCCATTTGTAGCTATGTTGAACACTTCTTTACCCTCATGCTGAAAACAACTTGTCGAAATCAGCTTGGAGAAATCACAATTCTTTATGGAAACTTTGGTTATTTTATATATATATTCATCTTCTTAAAAAGTTCTGTTTTTATTGGTGACCTATTTGAGAAAATCATTGATCATTTAATGAGTAACTTGCATGGGAACTAAGCATTTTTTATATCAACAGCATTCATGATTAGGACTAATAAAAACAATGGTTCGGACTAAGGCTGGGACGAGTCCAAATCTACTACCCGGGTACCTGACCCCCTATTACCCAACCCTACACAGGTACCCACTGCAGATCTGAAGAGTTGGGAACAAAATGTCTGATTGGGAATTGTTTTACCGCGGCCATGGCCAAAAGTATTTAGATACATGTTTCAGATGATCAGAGAAAAACAACTGAACACAATTGAACACAAAATTGACTGAAGCTTTATCTTTACTCAAACATATACAAGTCAGAAAGAAATGCGAACATCAGCGACTTGTAGTGTAACCACAGAGCTACAGTGAGTTTTTGTCATTAAACAATATATCACATGCCTATCCGCGGGTTTGGGAAGTCCTGTGGGTACCCGGGTCCTACTCAGTACCCACCCAACCCAAGTACCCGAGTTACTTGTCCCAGCTCTAGTTTGGAAGATTTTCATTTAATTTCCAAACAGGGCTGGCAGTGGTACATATTTTTATGTGTGATTTTGTTTTTAGATGTCACAAACAGGGAGTATCACTAAAAATATGTTTGGGTCGGCTCCTTATAACATGTATAAGAGGGTTGATCTGGTAATCGGAACCACATCATTGTTCACAGAGCTACAGATAAGCAGCGTATTTGCATAAAGTACCCCCAAAAAATGTTCAAAACCCAATTACTTTCAATTAACTTGCATACAGAAACACATGCATTTATTTAAATAAAAAACTCAACCGTATAAAAACAGCACACGTAAATACCCAATGATTTTTCAGCATGTGTACAAAGGAACTAATTTCCGAAGCACAATTACGAGCTACTGTACTTTCCAAGTCAAGCCTATATATTTAGAACTGTTTTCATGGTTATATACATCTAAAACATTATTTCATTTTCTTTAAAACTTAAAATGTTCACTCTATGGGGTAAAAACCCAATAGAGTTATGAATAGATAAGTAAATAAATATTGGTTATCCAATGAAAAATGTAATAACACAATTAAAATAGAAACCCTAGAGTAAAAAGTACTAAAAACTCAATTGCTCAAAATGTTATCTGGAGCTCTGGTTTAGGTCATATTGCCCTTCATGTATATATACGATACTACACCAAATGACAAAACTTTCCAATGATATTTTACTTGTTTCAGAAGCATGTCATTACTGAGCCTGACATTCAGCAACTCAACAATGTCAACAAAGACAGCTGAAAATGGTGAATAAAAACCTTGGATCACGGTAAATTAATCAGACACTGCAAACATAATATTCACAGGGCTAAGCTTCTACTGTCAGGTTAATGGTATGAGATTAGTTCTCCACAGGGTGACAATCATCTTACTGCACAAACTCAGAAAACAAACATTAACTAAAATGCACAGTAGTGAAAAACCGAATCATGAAATGTATGTAAAACCAAACTATATACTGGAACCAGTTATCCCTTGTAGCCTGAACTTGTTCAAATATCCCTCAATATACCAGTCATGAAAAAAAGCAATTAACGAACAAATAAATGATAGGCACCATCAAAAAGATCCAGAAGCTTTAATCACACCAATTAACTGTCAATATTCCTTGTGTACCCATATTCTGGTTTCATTAGTCCACAACAGCCAGTGCATATTTACACATTTAGGGCAATAAACGGGTAATTAGTAGGTGATTAAGATAACCAAAGGTCTTTGACCAAATAACAAGACAACATATTGCGAGAGCATTAGTTTACAGTAAATACTACAAGTACACTCTACTTTCCATTACACATGTTAAGATCCAAATAGGCAGAGGTCAGTGCAGTAGTTTCTGCGTAATGTTTATGTACAATATATGTAGATCTCAATACTAACTAAACGTTTGTGTTACTACATACATGTAGTTTCACTATTTAGCTAACACACTGACATTATTCTGCTGTCCAGTAACTACATGATGGTGGTGCTATCAATTTGTGTGAATTGAAGTTATTAAACAATGAACTAATAATAATGACAACAGTTCATGTATTTAGATGTGGGACAATAGCAGGGATATCTGCAACCCGGAACGTGAATAAGATGTGGATTTTGATGATGTTATGTCATATAGTATGTAGGAATGGGAATTTTTTCAAAAGCACTGAAAGCCGGGGTTCAGGGTGACTATATGATTTATGCATATAAATTGTAATGGTATGTATCACAAAGTGACCCTTGACATAACAAAATTTGAGGATACTCATACTCAAGAATGCCATATGTTTGCAAGGAGAAAAATATGTGGCATTAGCCCTCTCACCTACACATGTTTTCTCTTGATAAATAATTGCATTTTTTTTGCAAAACTGTATCAGATTTGATCTTACTTAGCAAACATGGTAAACATGGTAAACACTTGTAGTCTTATAACTCCAGTCAGCAACAAATGATTAATACATGATATCACAGATTAACTTTCCCTTGTAAATCCTCACATGAACTGGTTAGTGAAATAATCTCAAAATCAAATAATGTCAACTGACTCCAAAACTCTTAGAAGTATCTATCTGTGAACATAACAAAGAGAAAACTATCCTTTGATATATAAACATTCCTCAACGATCACCATGACAACATGGCTAATATATATTGTATAGTATTACTTACTAGTATTACTTCTATCACATGCTATTTCTTGAGGCGACATAGACAATGATGAAGACATTGTATGTATAAGCTAATGCCTTATGGTGACAATGTCTGGCCACTGGCTACATCATGATACTTGCATGGTCACATGCAACCATGTGCTTCATTGATCAGTTTCATGTTTCATGTTTAAAGCACATATTCAATACCTTAAACTGAATCATCAAGTAAGACTGTGACCAACTGTTACAGTTTCCACTGGGCAGCTGCTGTTAACAATAATCATGATCAGAACAGATTGCTTTATCCTTTACAGGAAACTTAAAATTGATTTCCAAAACTTACAAATCATCATTGTAAATCAAGAAGGTCAGTGCTTTCAGGTTCTGATAATGATGCATGCTGATTACTCTCAGATATCAGGGTGGTGTGAGAGAATGAATGAACATGAACAACATCAACAACTTGAAAGGAAGGAACCATATGACCAGAATCAAGGTGTATTCTAAAAAAAAATCAATACTGGCTTTCTGAA